GGGACCTCACCTGACAGCCACGACTTCAATGTCAATAATAGAACACAAAAAAACCTGACAAATTTTGATTTGTAAGGAGTCTACACTCAAACCTGCACATTTACATAAATGCTTTAAAAATAAATGAAAGAGATAAAAGGTATTCTGAATAAAATAAACATGAGCAGGCAGTTGATAACTGTATCAGAAATTAAGTATGGTATTTGTTACCAACAAAAACAGTAACTTAAGATATTGATGTACAGTCTTGATTTTGCAAGGAAAAAAAAAATTCTAGCTTGCTTTTGATATTAGAGATTCAAATTTTCTTAAAGAAAAAAGTATTCAGGTATCCATCTTTCAGGTTGTTATGAGATTTTTGAAAAGAGCCAAGAATCCCCGCTTAGGCTTATCTTACCTGCAGACCAGATCTTTAACATCTTATCCCAAGATCCACTGCAGAACTGTATGAACAAAAACATTTTGTTAAAAGTTGATCCAGGCAGACCTTGTAAGCCACACTAAGTATACTTCTGCTTGAAAAATTAACCAATCGGTTGTAACACATAAAGAACAGTGCTGGGCTCCTCAGGGGAAAAATTACTACTTCTTCCTTTCTTTGCAGGAAACACATCTACAAACCTAGGTGGGATGACTCCACCATTGGTGTGAATGCTCTTAACTGCTGAATCCCTGATAAAGGAAAGCAACCTCTTCTGCTACCTGCTTTTTCTGAGTATCACTCTGGAAACTTTCTTCCCACTAATACTACTGTGAAAATTTAGGTCAAATGCTTTAAAAGTAAAATGTACTTAAAAGTAAACATTCAGCTTCACTCACAGAAGTCAAAAGCAGCAGTATAATGGCTTGTGCTATCTAAAGTCACTGTCAGGTTTTTGTGATAATAGAGGTTAAGTAAATCTCTTTGAAAAGATGGCCTAGTGTTGATGTAGCACTCCTAAACATTGATAACCACCATCTATAACAAGACTGTAAACTTAACAGAGTGTCAGTCATAATAACATGGTAACTAGTACTTATGCAGGGATGCAAAGATAATTTTTGAGATATGGGCTGCTAACATCCCAAAAGACAAAGGTTTCTTTCCAGGAGTCACTCACTTTAGTTCTTGTGCAATCAACAGCTATGGAGTCTACACTCCCAGCGTGTCCCCTGCAGCAGTGAAGGGCTTTCACTTTGTTTTTCTCCACATTCCACTCCCACAGCAGGACAGTTTGGTCCATAGAAGCACTGAGTAAAAGGCATGATAAGCTATCTGAGGAAGAAAAAAATCATGCTCTCACTCAACTCAGCTTTCCAAAGTCTTTATAGTAATTATTCTAGTCAAAGAAAAAATAGCAGATAGATAGAAACCTATACATCTCACTTTACATCATGTTATTCTGCAACTAGAATTAACATAAATATACATACAAATATTTGCTAATTAAGACTGTAAGGGGGATAGACAACATACATGTTAAATTGTAGTCATTACTGTTAAAGGACAGTTTAACGCGCACCATTACTTAACTTCTAACACTACTGACAGAAATGTAAATAATCGTAGCATCCAGATTAGTAAATATTCATGACTGAGGACTGCTGACATTTCTCCCCCAATAAATCAAACTGTTACTACTCCTGGAATACATATACTAACCTTGCTTCACCCAGGCCACATCCTTCACTACTTCTGTATGCCCAGCTATTGTCATGATGGATTTTCCTTCCAAAGACCAGATTCGAGCAGTCTGATCGTAGCAGCCAGTTAATATCCTACCAGGTACAGAATTTGAAACATTCTTGTCTTTAAAACCAACAATGTTTTTTATGGGGGGAAAAAAAAGCCTCAACTAGAAACTTAGAAAACTATAAGCATAGTAACTCATTAGTTGAAATGAATTCAAAGTATAGCTACTTTGTGTGGGGAAAAAAAAAATGAGTTTGGCAAAGTAAAAAATCTTTTTGTTACAGAGCAAAGCTTCATTAAAACTTACAAATGCAAGGCTAAGAGAACAGGCTAAAAAAAACAAAGAATGAGAGTACTGCATCTTCTGGTAGCTGAGACCGCTTACATCGTTTAAAATAAAAGATAATTTGTTGTTCATAGTATGTTACAGAGGATCTCAAAGCATTTTCAAACCATTACTTAATATGGGAGCATTGCCTAGTTGGTTGGAAAATGAATGTGAAAATACACTAGAAAATAATTATTTTTTTTTAAGAAAAGCTCTGCACAAAGGTATGCAGTTATATTTTTGGCTCCATGTATGCTGTACTTAAAGTCAAGGGTTTAAGCTAAAACGAGATAAGGAAATCTTGCTGTCTTTTAAGTGAAAGGACAGTAAAGAGCATTTATATTGCCCATTTGTATTATCAGCATCTCATGTTCTGTGACCCTGGATATTTTCTACTTGTGTTAAAATCACCGTCAGCATAGTATAGAGGTGTTAAAACTGAACTGCTTACAAAGGCAAGTAGCTGACTTGACAGGTTAAAAAAAATAAAACAGAGCAAAGAGATGATAAAAAGATTAAAAGAGAGGGACCACCACTCCATTTGACACTATGGAGTTCTCTGCACACAATAGGAAGAACCAAGACAAGAGTTGGAACTGGCTTAGTGTGGTACCATTCTTCAGTGGCTTGAACAGAACTGATCCAGTCATCGTGGAAGATGCATTCCTCTGGCTGAGGGGCCATGTATTTCTCCACATACTCTATTTCCACCACTTCTTCCTGAGCTCAAGACAAAATACTTATTTTTAGTATGGTTTTATTTTTCTGTAACAGTAATATTTAACTGTAGTGTGGTGCAAATATACAATTTTATTGGGCAAAGATCATGGTATCCAAGTCCTTTGTCACATTAGCAGAATTACATTCTTTAGAAAAAAGTACCTGAATTATATTGTTTTCCATATTTTTATCAAATTACTATTAATAGCAAGCTGGAAGCAAAAGCAAATGATTTCACTCTTCTGGGGTTTCTCTTCCTCTGTATTTACTCACATAAAATTAGTGTCTAAAATACTTCACAGCATTATCTAGACATAATGCCTTCCCTCTGATCCCCCAATGTACCTAAGAGAGCAGGAGACAGAAATATATTAATGACAAACTGAGTAAGAAAAGAACTTTCCCTGTGAACTGTGCACAGACAACAGATTAGATAATGATGTTCCTTGCACAGCTCAGTCCCATACTCTCTAATCACTTTGCAGTGATTCATAATGGATTTAAACATACAGGGAACTCTCCCAGGAAAGTCAGAAAAACAACCGCCTAATCAGGCTGACACTGTAATACCTAAATCAGACTGCAGGAAATTGACTAAGTCTGTTCTACTGTCCCACAGTGAGACAGGGCAAAACTGAGTATGACTTACCGTGGAGATATTTTCCATTTCCATGTGCGCGACCAGTGGCATACGCAAGAACTGGCCATTGATAAGGAAGTCAAATTCCACGTATTTGTGATCCGCTGAAACAAATTACGAAAAATCCATGTTCAGATATTGCTATTTAATTGATACCATCAAGAACCGCATCATTTTGTGTCTAGTTCAGGAGAATGGAGCCAGCAACAGGTTCAAGAAAAAAAACAACCCAAAAAGAGTCATTTTCTTCTCCCAGTTTTACGTGAGCAGCCTAGAACTTCCACAGAGTTATGTGAGTTAAGAGTGAAGGAAAGCTTGTCCTGGAATACCCAAAGTCAATTTGCTGTTTGGGCTCAAAGAGTTAAGTTTGCCTGTTATTGTAACACTTTTTTTTTTTTTTTAATCCTTTTGTCTGTAGCTACATCTAATCAAACCCCAGTGGTGCTTCATCACTGTGCTTATGGAGCTTGCTACTGCTAGCCCACATCTCTATCACCAGCTACAGTCCTATATTTGAGGTAGCAACAGGAAAATCCCAAGACATTTGGTTCATATTCTTCCCTCTGTAATGACAAAGCAAAGGCCCCATATTTCGACATGAGCATTTGCACTGTGCGCTTGTTTTCTATGCCAGCGTGGCTGTGATTTCATGGGTTAAAAGCAGCTTACAGAAGTGTCAGTAGGTTAAGATACAATTAGGCTAGTTGCTTTTAGAAAATGGGATTTTTCAGGTGTTTCTCCCCCCAAAATCCTTCATGTCCGGCCCATTTCAGCTACCATTGACAGAATGGTTGAACTCTTCTCAGAGGCTTTTATAAAAACCAAACCTTGGGTTTCATTAGTTCTCTTGCCAGTTCTTGGGGAACATTTCCATTCCCTGTTGCTGGGGCAGCTCGGTCTGTGGTGCTGGGCACAGGCTCATCCAGTCTTTGGTGTGTTTCCCCTGGGATTGCCCTCCAGCACTGGGATCTGCCCAGTTCCAGCTGGGGTTCGGGGGGTCCCTGCCGCTGGACAGCCAGAGCAGTCCCGCGGGGCAGGTGCGGCAGAGGCTGCAGCCTGGCCCCACGGAGGCCCTGGGGGTGTGCGGGTGCTGCTCCTGACCCTGTCAGCACGGTTCTGTGTCTGGCCCTGCTCTGGGCTGCCCGCTCGCGGCACCGGGCGCTGAAACCGGACCCGT